TTGCCACGACACAGCGAGGACATGTTCACAGCGTTGCAAGCATGTGTTTATTGCACACCCACGTGGGTGCTAGGCCAGCTTCTCCTGTTGTATCCTGTGAGCAAACACAACAGCATGTTGCGCCAGCCACAGAGTTCTCAGGAGGCCCTCACCATACCCCGAGTGATGCGCTTATTGAGCCCCCAGGCTGCACCCCATCTCCACCACAGTTTCCTTCAAGAGGAGCCAAAATCAACCCTATGACCATTAGCCTGCTATTGAGAACAGCAAGTGCCCCATCTACTGCAGCTGCTGGCAGAGCCAGGGCTGCCTGCAGGATCGCAGGCTGCTTGCTTGCTTGGCTTTGGTCTACAGACCTGTGCTGCCCAGCTGATCCAGCCCAGACACAGGGAGGCTGTCCAGGGAGCAGGGCTTGTCCGTGCATGCCTGGCACGGGGACCTTGTGAGGCTGTCACACTGGTCTCATTTACCCACAGGCTCAAAGGAAAGTGACTTGACAAAGGCTGCTTGCCTGCAATGATTGCTGGGGACAGATGACAGGAGACTGAAGTCTCTGAATTCCACAGTTGGCCGAGCTACTAGATCCTGTAGCTGAAGATGACAGGACAAGCCCCTCCCCGTGCAGCCAGCCTCCACCAGCAGCTGCCGGCTGGCCTGGCGCACCATCAGAGGGACGCACTCTGGCTCTCTAAAGACTCCCATGCATTGTGAAGTTCAAGCCAGAGCCAAGTCACCAAGCACCTAGAATCCAGCTGGAGCTGCACTCCACTTCCAGAACAGCCACCTAAACCTCCCACAGCTCCAAAAGCCACTTTGAACTTGAAATGGGAGACAAAAATACGGTTTCAGGTCAAGTTCCTACTTCTTTCCTCTAAATCAAGCCACTTTAAAAAAAAACAAACAGGGACTACCGTAGCCAGACGCAGGTGGCACACACCTGGAATCCTTGCTACTTGGGAGGATAATGACTAGAGCTGGGGGCCATGGCACGTGCCCCGCTTCCGAGCCACCATGGGATAAAGTAGACCCTGTCTCAAAATCCACACAACACTGAATGACATATTAATTAGGGCATTACATTGTGTGACCATTACCTCTCGCTCTCGTTCTAGAATATGCGCATCATCCCAAAAGAAAGCCATAACCCCTAATCCATCCCTCCACGCCCCACTCCCTGAAGCCCTTTGCAACAACTACCTGTTTTCTGCCTGGAGATTTTCCCAGTTGAGATATTTTATACAATTGGAATTATAATACGTGGCCTTGTTGTAGCTGTCTTCTTCCAGGAAACAGTGTTTTCAAGGTTCATTCTGTTGTAGAATGCATCATGTCCCTTCCTTAATAAATCACTCAGGGAAACTGAATGGTAACATTGCAACGAATGGACATACCACAGCTCACTTACCAAGGAACCACCAAGCCGAATCCACATTTTCTTCTCTTGTCTGTGGATGGTGTATAGGTGGCACCGCTGGGCATTGCTTAGTTGATCCCTTCACAACAGACTGGCCATCCTCCTGCCTAAACCCCCAGCAGCCCCGTGCATCTGGGCTGCACACCAGCTCAGCACTATACCAAGGAAAAGAGCAGGAAACCAGGGTGGCTGGTCACTGAAGGTGACTGTGTAGCATGGTTCTTTGCCACTCCCTCCTGGGACCCTCCCCTTTCAAAGACAATGTGGCCACTTTGCCTTTAGAATGACTGTCATGCATGGACCTAGAAAATGTGTCCAATGTGCCCTCCTCATTTAGGATGCTTCCTTACCCCATGGTGGTCACCCAGCCCTCAGGTGCCCACTCTGACCCTAGGAGAGCCTCCTCGCCCTCCTGAAATGTGGCTTGTAACAGTAGAAAGCAATGCATATGGTGTGGACTCTGTGTGCTTGTCTGATAGGAATAGCAGTACAGACTGCCTGCAGGAGGCCAGACTTCCAGGAAGGGGCTGTGCCAACTGGGCATGCCCATTTAGTCTAGGAACTGTGGGAAAACAAGGAAGGAACATAAACTGAGTCTGTAATAACAGCTCTCCGGAGCCATCTCTTTTGGAGGTTCTTAGCACTTAACTGAGAAAGAACGACATTTCCTCTATGAAGCAACTGACCACATTTCACACTGCTGGCGCTTCTAGCCTCCCGCCCCGGGCCACATCCATTCCCCACACCGCTGAGCCGGGAGCGGCAGGCTGGACACTTGTTTCCTGTCCTCTGGGGCCCAGCTCAGTGCTGATGACAGGCTGAAGGCAGGTGGCTGCGTTGCTGATGAGTGAAATAACCCACTCCATTTGTCTTCACCATAAAGTAGACAAAGCAAATATTTCTTATGTGCACTTGACAATTGTAAAGGACTTGCAGGGGCCTGAGAGGGACTTGAACAGGTTATGACGACCGTGAGCCGACAAGGCCAGGACACAAATCCAGCCCTCCCCTGCCCCCTCCCCATTGCAACACCTCAAAAAAGCCCCAACTCTGCAAGGAGAGCGAAAGCAAGACCACATAGTGACCAGGAGAGATCGCACATGGATGGAGAGGGAAAGCAGGACGCCACTAAATCTCCCCTTCCCTTTCCCTCTCTGCTGCGGGCCGTGCTGGGACGTGGGAGCTCCGTGCTTGCTACAGACCCAGAACCAGGAGGGGAGGAGGAGGGAGATTGAGCCCCTGTGATAGGTCTGCACAACCTCTGCCAGCCTGGGGCTCCTCCACACAGAGGAGGGCAGGAGGCAGAATCACTCCAGCAAGCCTACTGAGTGGGCGCTGGGCCAGCCATCCTCTCCTTCCCGCAGCCACTGGGAGAGCCAGCCTGGAACCCCCCCCCCCAAGACCAGAGCAGCCACAGTGACACCAGGAGAGGAGGGAAGGGGAGCAGCCCAGAGCCACCTGCAGTGAGCCCCCAGTGCTTTCTTCCTGCTGTTCCTGGAAGACCTGCATTCAGCTGGGGGCCTCAGGGAAAGAGGGGAAAGGAGGGAGCCCAGCCCAGCCAGTGGTTATGCCGGCTGCTTGGACTGGAAGCTCCCCAGCACGCTGGTACTTCCTCCACGTGCTCACTGGCTGGGACAAACTGTAAAAGGAGAAGAGCCACGGAGCAGGGCTCTGCGTTGTTCCCCTGGGGTGCTCGATACCCCTTCCATGTTCCCACCAACCTGTACCCCAACAACAAGACTGCAGATAAGACCCTGGAGCTGCACAGCCTACAAGGAGGGAAGGCAGTGGACAGGGCCCAATCTGTTGACCCTCAGGCTGGGACGGGGGCGCATAACTACACAAGCACAGGAACGTGGGAGGTTGGACTCTCTCCCTCTCTCCCTGTCTCTCTCCCCTTTCCCTCCCTGAGCTAATGAAGTCTGGAACTCATTGTGTGCACATTGTGTCCCGCACTCCCCAGGAGGCAAGGGAAGGGAGGCTGTGGGGCTCAGGGAAGGAGAGAGTCAGGAGGCCAACTGCTCCATGGAGGCTGGTCCCCAGAGGACCCGAGCCCAGTGGAGAGAGACCCAAAGACCATTCTAGGTCACAGTACATCCCCAGGGGTACACAGATACCTGCAGAGTGGCCCTGATTCCCAAGGGAATGAGAGAGGCCCTAAGTCATTGCCTCTGACAGGCTCTGCTATTTTTATGTCTAACTCTGGTTAAAAATAGCTGCCTAAGCCAAGGTTTTAGCAGCAGCTGACAAGATATTAAGTATTAGATACCTAATGCCCACAAGTGATCACCACAGGTCTCTGCCAGTGTCCGCATCCTGGCTAATGGGAAGCAGGTAGGAAATGGCTGGGAGAAGAGCCCCTGCAGCATCTCAAAGCACTTCCCAAAGGTTGGGGCCTGCTGTGGGGTGTGCTCACTGAGCACTCTTGGATGCAAGTCCCGGGGCTCCGAGGGAGCCTCTGGAGCTGACCTTTGGGGAGCCACTACACATGCCGGCCCTTCTGTTGGCATGCATCTGAGCAGCTGTGTACCAGGCCAGCCAGTGCCTTACATACAGCGGGCCCAGGAGTCACTGGTCCAGGCCTGGTGCAAACCAGAGGCTGCTGGCTTCACCCCTGTGCAGACTGGACAGCTTGGCATTTGTCCTTCACCTCAGAGCTACCTTAATGCAGCAAAGTGTTCGAGGGGACTTGCTGTCCACACCCCCATAGGAGGTCCCGAGAACAACAAAGGAATCGCAGAGCAGAGCAGCCTTCCGCCCGCAAGCTCAGGCCAGCAGTATTCAGTGCAGTGTAGGAGTGGGCCGCTATGTGTGTGTGGACATACACTGCCAGCCGGTCTCCACAGTGCTTAGCTCTTCAGATAAGTTCCACACCAAGCAAGAAGCTGGAGGACAGGGCATTCGCAGCGGGAAAAGCAAGGACATGCTGGCCCCTGGCCGGGAGCAAGGCCTGGCCGAGACCTCCCTCCAGGCCAGACAGGGAGACCCCACGTTCCCACTGCACGGCTTTCCTGGTGGCACCCAGATGGACACCCAGTCCCAGCTCCTCAGCCACCAGGACTGTGGGGACCGTCAGCAGAACCCCAACTCTAGCCCTAAGATGAGAGCAGCACCACAGGGCTGTGGGTCAGTTCAGAGCCGCCCCCAACAGCCGGGCTTGGTGACAGACAGGGGCCAGCTGGGCTCATAGCTGCCATTCCTCTCATTTGGGTCTCCTGACACAGTCAGAGCTGAGACATCATTGTGAGTCAGGACCCCCAAGGCCCAGGGGACTCTGTCCTCAGCCGCACCATGGTCCTGGGCTTATGGCTCAGCCACATCTACCCCGCCTCATCCAGCTGCAGACCCGGAGTCTCTGGCGCTAAGCAGCAGCCCTCTGCTTTGCCAGTGGCTGGGCTGGAGGCTTTCCTCAGGTACCCTAATTCCACCTACTCCTCACCATCTGTCTGGGTCATCTGGACCCCCATAGGAAAGCAGGCCAAACCCCTACCAGCCCAGGAGGCCTGGCGAACAGCAGAACCCTGGAACAGCCTCCAGTTCTAAGTCCGCCTGCTAACCGCCGGCCCTGTCTCTTTTTGGTTTCCAGTGAAAAGCGCCACCTCCAAGTGAACGTCACCAACCCGGTGCAGTGCAGCCTGCACGGGAAGAAGTGCACCGTTTCCGTGGAGACCCGCCTGAACCAGCCCCAGCCTGACTTCACCAAGAACCGCTCCGGCTTCATCCTCAGCGTGCCAGGGAACTGACACCCCACCCGCAGAAGACCCCCCCGGGCGGGTAGCCTGGCCCCCAGGTAGCCGCGCCCTCGCTCAGCACCCAGGTTCCAGTCTGATCGCCGCAGCCCCACTAATGCCACGCCACTAGATTCACTCGCAAGACTCCACGCCCCGCCCCGGAGGCCTCCAGGAGGTCTGCTTTCTGCCTTTGGCCTCCATCTACTATCTCAGCTTCCCACAGTCCCTGATGCTCATCACAGCCCGCTGACATGCCTCTCCTCAGGGTGTTCCGTGAATGGCCAAGTCAGGGCAGAAGGCCTTGGCCAGCAACCAGCTGACCACAGCATCGGGCGGGGGCGGGGAGGGGGGAGTTGGAGAGGGCCACGGTTTCCCTTGCCAAAGTCACACTACCCTAGGGGACCTGGGGAGGTCTCATGGCTGTGAGCTAGGGACGCAGCCCTGCCTTGTGAACCCCCAAGGGGACCCTAGCCCCCAGGACCTGGCTTAGAATTCCAGTACCCCAGCAGTCAGCCAAAGCCACAAGCAAACCCAGTCCCTCAGCCACACCCAGTCAGCGGCTCTCCTTCCCAGGAGGCTGCCCCTGGGACTCCCCTTGCCTCCAGGGCCCCGGGCTGGCCTCTGGCACATCTCTGGAGAGTGTGATGATGATGCTCTAAGAATTGTCTTTCCCATTGCTGGGGTGGAACTCGAGGCCTCAGACATGCTAGGCAAACATTTTACCACTTAAGCTACACTCCTAGTCCTTTCGTTTGTATTTTTTGGATCTCGTTTCACTTTCCCAGGGCCAGCCTTGAGCTCAAAATTCTCCTGCCTCTGCTGGATTACAGACATGTACTACCAAGCCTGGCCTCAAGGATCATTTTGGAAGTAACCTGCAACCTGTGTCCATCTTTGACTTGCTTTTGCAGTCTGCAGAGTTGTAATCAGATCTTACTTCTGCTATAACCATAATGTCTAGTAAGAAGATGCAGGTGCCAGCACACTAGGTTTGGCAGCTTTCTTCTTCTAACTCCCCTAGCTATGTTCCCTGCTTACCCAAGAACTAGGACAGGGGCGGGGGCCAAAGCACAAAGGAACTGCAGGACGTAGAGCAAGGCAGCAGTAGAGAGAGGGATCCTGGCACTGCAGGCCAGGCCAGGGTGCCACCCTATGCTGCCCTGCCGGAGTCTGGCCCTTGAACCTTCTGCCAGCCGAGTGCTGCCCACTTGCCAGTGTCTGCCCAGCAGAAAAAAAAACATGCTTCAGCAGCCTTCCAGAGACACCCTCCCTCCCCTGGCCTCAGCTGCTGAGAATCTGAAGACGTGGAAACTGGGGTGCCCAGACAGGGCTGCTGGTGGGGAGTCTTACAAAGAGAATCCCAGAGCACACAGTGCAGGCAGCAAGGGCCAGGCCCCAGGAGGAGCTTGTAGCAAGGTTAAGAAGGAGGGCGGGGCTGAGGTGTGCTTCTTCCTGCCAGATGCCACCAGCAGAACCCGAGTGCCTGTGTGCCACCTCAGGTGCCTTCCAGGACCCCAGGGGGCTGCCTGGCCTCTCCCAGGGTCTCTCACATACACACCCTCCTCCCCTAATGAGGGCTCACAAACATTTGCACCACGTGCAGTTCACAACCAGGAATCCTGACCACATCCTGTCCTCCAAGGCTGCTCAGCCACCTGTGCCACGCAGAGCTGCGGCAGACCAGTCTCAAGGCGATAGTGGGCTTGCCAATCACTGGTGGACACTAGCAGAACCGTCTAACTGGAACATCTCTCTCCTTTCCACCCACTGCCCCAACCTGTTGCTTCACATTAAACATATGCAGGTTCACGTTTTAAGCACACCAAAACAGTTCATGCCAAATGGGCAGCCTGTCAGGCTGAAGTGGACAGAAGGGTTTGGACTCCACTCCCTTTCACATAGCCTGGGGCTCCTGCAGAGGACACAGACGGCCCCGTCCACAGACACTGACCTACACCTGCATGTGACAAATGAAGGGTCAGGAATGTAGGGTGACGTGCCGAGGGGGAGGAGGATGCTGTGATTGTATGCAATGAAGTGAATTCCCCTTGATTTAATTAAACACGGTTCTACGGTTTCGTGCATATATTCCTATTTCCCATTAAATTAACTTTATTTCTAAAGCATATTTTGATTTACCTAAGAGCAATAAAGCATTAAATCTTATTTTTAAATGTGTTCCGCTTATCTGTCGTTAATTTAAATCATGAAATCTTAACTCATCTAAAGTCAACTGTCATCCCACATGATGGGAGAATTAAACACCAATGATATAAAATGGAGGATCACTTGCCTGGGGCTTACGCACAGAAACACTGAATAGTGAAAAACAGGCTGTGGAAGTAGGGTGGGGGGAGGAGGCCACGGGGTTAAATCCAAACACGGTCATTTTGGCATCAGGAGCCATGTTCAGTGAAAGGAACACATGTGTATAAAGGACAGGCACAGAGCCCCTTGGCAGAAGTCCCAGGCCAGGACAGCCTCCTAGCAAGATGGCTGGTTGGAAAGGCGGGAGAAAGGGGGAGCCAGTTTTCCAAATCTGCAGGGGGGGCCTTAGTAGGGAACCATAGGGCCCCCCTTCACCCCAGCACCCAGGGCTTAGGCGGCTATAGGGCACTGACCAGTCATGGGCAGGAAAGTGCACACAGCTGTGGCTTCTGTGACCCTGTGGATGCTGCTGTGATCACAGGGTGACAGCCCTGACTGTAGGGTCTAGGGCCAGCAGAGAAGCACATCCTCTCTAACCTTTCCCTGTGGCTGAAGTTGGTGGCAAGCAGACTTCTAGGACACAGATCCTGGATGAGCCAGCCTGGATGACCACACCTAGAAATACTCATGGGTTGGGTAGCCGTTTACCTGGGTCCCAGGGCTGGACCACATGGACATCAGTCCACCCTTGCTGGTCTAGGAGCTCCCAGCCAATGAGTGCTGAGCAGGGCCAGGCCCAGGGACACAGGAGAGCAGCAGCCTCCTGAGCCTGAACACGTGAGGCCTATAGTTGGGTTCCCATGCAGGACCCACTTGCCTGCTCCAGCCAGGCCAGGGCCTGACCCTCCTGGGTTCCAGATGCCCACCGTTCGCCTCCAGGAAGAGCCTTTGGGGAGCACCTATCCAGCCACTAAACCCAAGCCTGCTTAACCTCATTGCTTCCTAAACCACCTTAGTGCACTCGGCCTGCTCTCCAACTGTCCCCACAACACAAATCCAATTTGTTCTGAGTGTATGAACCGGGTATTAAAGATGCCTCCGGCCTGCTTACAAATGACAGACCACAAAAAAGCTCAATATAATGGATGGTCAGTGCATTTTATTGAATCAGCACAGTACAAAAATAAATAAAAATAAGGGTCAGGGAATTAAATCACAGCCAAACTGAGCTTCATGACTGTCAGATTATAAACCACACATCCTCACAAACACACAACACATACATACAAAATGAGACAAGTATAAATTAATATTAACAATACCCACAGTTTGGTCAAAGAATAGCTACGGAAGAAATTGCACTAAAAAAAAAAAACCAACATACACCACATGTGTATAATTAGCGCTTTCAAATACACAGCTATGAAGAGTTCTGAGGGAAGAAAATGGCACATTTTCTTTTCATTCCAAGTTGAACTGTTGGAACAAAACTAAATTCTAATAACTGCATGGAAAGAATATATCAACCCTTCTGGCTTACAAGAAAAAGAGAAAAACCAAATCCTGAACTATTATTCCTGTGGCTTGTTCTCTGCATGGGTGTAATTTTCACAGCCATCTGTTCTAAGATTATTTTTAAGACACAAAATGCTCCTGGTTTGCATGCACAGTATCACTGTAAAAGCAACGATTAAAGAATAAAAGGGTTTTTGTACGTTAGTTTTTTTTTTCCTTTTTTTTTTGTTGTTGTTCTAAAAGTAGTCTTCGTAGCAGCATGTCCGATGGGTTCATAGCTTGGACACTCAAGTGTGTCAGCTGTTCCTTTACACAATACTGGTGGACCAGTGCGTGGGGAGGGACCCACAGGCCTCTCATGGCTGGAACAACGAAGTTGTTTCCTTGGTCCCCAGCCACTCTTGAAATGTGCACTTTCTCCAAAAAAAAAATAAGAAATAGAGAAGGAAACAGACCCCCAAACTGGATTCCTGCGGATGCAACCAAATGGCACAGTTCCAGGTCAGGTTCAGCCAAAGCTCCTCCCCACGCCACCAGGGCCGGCTTTCCCGAGGAGCTCCTAGCTCAGGTCGCCTTTGGCAGCAGAATCTGACAACAGGCTGCGGTGAGTCTGCACCAGTGGCCACAGGCCTTCCAGCGCTGCGGAGGGTCATCTGACATCCCGGTTGGCTCAGCATGGGCCTCACAGCAGCTGGGGAAAGGCTCCAGCCTGGGCAGGACCTCTTCTCCATCCTGGGAACACTGGGCCAAAAGGCTCTGCTCCAGGCCAGGAGGGCCTCAATTTCACAGCTTTCTCTTTTTTTTTAATGTGGATTTCAGTAGTGCTTGTAGAAAGTTGCTAGCCACCTAAAACCTACTCCTATGTAAAATGACCTCTGCCAATCCACCCGGATCCCCAGTTCCAGCAATCCCCAGGGACTGGACTGGAAGAGACTCCTCTGTAGCATCTTCACATTGTCCTTTGTTCCCCAAAGCTGGGTTGGGGCCCTTCTATTGGACCTCTCCAAGCCACCAGTCTGGGAGAAAGAAAATTGGGGGCTGGAGGTGTGGCTCAGCAGTAAAACACCTGCCTGGCAAGTGCAAGGCCCTGAATTCAAACCTTAGCACTGCCAATTAAAAATAATAATAATAATAAAGAAAAACCAAAAACAAAGTCTGTAAAGTCCACATCATGTGTTCTGCAGCCACTAAGGTAAGCTGGGCACCAAAACCAGCAGCTATGAGTCATGAAACTGCCACACTTCCAGAGCAATCAGGAGTCACACTCCATCTTGTGATAGTCTCCAAGATTCAGCTGAGCCATGCCGAGCAAGGCTTTCTCTCCAGGAGAAACCGGACTGTTTGGGAACAGCTTTAAATTAACAAGGGTGGGGATGGAGTATACCATTACCACATCACCCCTCACGTGGTCTTATTTCCCCCAGCCCTGCCGGACAAATGTCCCGTGCACCAGCAAAAGGCCTTAGCACTTAGGTGGGCACTGGTTTGCCTGCAGGCATAGGTGCTCCCAGCCTGAAAAGCAGGCTGTGGCTAGCGGGCACCTGCTGCCGTCCTGGCTTTCCCCACAGTGACTAAGCTGCATTATTCAAATGACAAATTCACCCACGAAAGGAGCCATCCCAGCTTTACCCCACCTTTAGCTGGGACCCAAAATGATATAATCTAATGAGGCCAACCAGCTCATGGACCAGCACTAGCGTGGGAAGCTGGGAACAGTGGACGAGGAGAAAAGAGGTAGGCGATTCCAGTAAAGGAAAGCCTTTCTCCCTAAAAGAGGAGACCGCAAACTAGGTCCAAGCATGGTCAACAATGGAACATACGCTTTGCATGAGCCGGGCTCAGCCTTCCTGATCGAAGGTGCCCCAGGGCGGTGGACATCCTGCCTCCTAACCCACTGCAAGGCTTAGTCAGGGCAGCTGTCTCCAGAAGCCCCTGGGAGAATGAATCACCCAAAACAGTTGCCTTTCAGGAAAGGGCCGGCCTCCAACCAGAAATCCCAACTCCTCTCCTGGGCCCACGGGCCAGAGGCCCCTCTCCAGCCCAGCCCAGCCTGAGAGCAGTGGGCAGCCTCTCCCACCCTGGATCCTACAAGGCCCCAGGTGGACAGGGGGTGGGACAGTCCCTCGAGCTCCCCAGAGTGAGAGGTCTGCGGCCAGGATGGCTCTGAATGCATCCTCTGGCTTTGCACAAGGTTCATGAGTTCAAAAGTCCCCAGACTCCTTGACAGGACTGGGGTGGGGGTGGGGAGGGGGAAGGAAGGGAGAGGATAAAACAACAACAACAACCAAAAACAAAACCAAAAACCCAAGGAGAAAACTATAGGAAGAGAGAGGCCCTCGGTGGCTTCGCTAGACACATACTGTACACAGAACTTGATTTGTCTCAGTTATAAATTTTTAAAAGTGAATGGAATCCTTGAGCCAGGCCGTGGGCTCCGGCGCTCACCGATCCAGCCCCAGGAGGAGGCGCTTCTTGTCCTCCTGGCCACTCTCGTTCTTCAGGTCGGAGAACACCTGTGTGAAGTAGTGTGGGTCGGCGTTGATCTGCAGCATCTTGGCGCTCATGAGGTTGATGACGGAGAGGCAGCGGTCCCAAAAGGCCTCCTTGCAGCTCTCCACCAGGAAAGGCTTGAGCGGGTAGGAGATCTCGTTGCCCATGTAGGAGTAGGAGAGGTACAGGCAGGTCAGCAGGACGGCCTGGAGCTCGCGGTCCGAGCCCACCTCGGAGGAGATGACATCCCTGCAGAGCATGTAGAGGAAGACCACGTTGGCCGGCGTGATGAAGCCCTGGTCCTGCCAGCCCTGCAGCAGCAGCGAGCGGTCCACGCTGCGCAGCCAGATCACGGGGTCCGTGGGGGACAGGTGCTTCAGGCGGTAGCACCGGCGACAGAGGAACTCGCCCAGGCAGCGCAGCAGCTCGCTGGTGGACGCCTGGACGATGACCCGTTTGGGCGTCCCCGCGGAGCTGACCACGGGGTGCGGGGCCTTCTTGACGGAGGAGGAGGAGGAGGAGCCCCCGGTCTGGGAGCCCGAGAGCTGGCTGGCCGGGGGCGCGGGCGGCTGGGCCGGCGGGGGCTGGGCGAACGTGGACAGGTTGGCGCACGACAGCGACTTCTTCAGGTTCTCATTGTTGAGGTGCGTGATGTTGTTCTGGTAGCTGCTGTTGGGCTGCACCTTCTTGGAGTTCTTCTTCTTGGCCGACACGGCCACGATCCTCTTCCAGGGCAGCACGGAGATGATGGAGTGCCGCTTCAGGTTCTTGTCCTTGGCGTTCTTGCTGTTCTGCACCGCCGTGTAGTGGCCCACCGTGGCCGCGCCATCCTCAAACAGCGTGGCCTTGCGGTAGCTGGGGGACAGGGACAGCACCGTGCCCATGGTGCCCCTGCGCGCCCAGCCTGCCGGCCGGGGGCGGACGGCGGCTCACCGAGCCCGC